TGAACTTCAAGTCTTGAAAAGAATATGTTGAGATCATTCTTGGATGTAGGACTTAGAATTATCCCTAAGGGAAGAGTGTCTTATAACAATTATTGAGAACCCAAAAGAAACCAGCGAGAAATTTTTCTCAAAAAAAAAAAAAGAGAAGGCAAAGGAACAACCTAAGGAGATCACTTGCTTCTTTTACAAAATGGTTGGACACATGAAGAAAGAGTGTTTCAAGTATGCCACATGGTGTGAAAAGAAGGGGTTGCATGTGGAGTCGTACGTCAAGTGATGCTGAAAGATTCATTTATGTGGGCGATGGTAATAAAGTTGCAGTAGAGGCTATATGGACTTTTAGATTATTAATAAAGACCGATTTTCATTTAGGTTTGATTGAGACTTTTGTTGCACCGTCTATTAGACAGAATTTAATTTCTATTTCTATTTTGGACAAATCAGATTATACTTGTTCGTTTGAAAATAATAATTTTAGCCTCTTATATGATTCAAATGTTGTTGATTACGGTTCTTTGAATGATAATATTTACATGCTTGATATTAAATGTCCTTATAACAAAATAATGCAAATAGAGTCACATGGTACAATATGAAAATTAAATGAGAATTCCGCCACTTTATGGCATAAGCGGTTAGGACATATATTTAAACAAAGAATTCATAGGCTTATGTTGAACGGTATTCTTAGATCCCTTGATTTGTCGAACTTTCAAGTCTGCATTCAGTGTATCAAGGGTAAGCAGACAAACAAGAGGGATTTTCATACTGAGCTAAGGATGTCTTAGAACTAATTCATACTAATATATATGGTCATTTCCCTACAAGTTCTTGGAATGGAAAAAATATTTTATTATGTTCATAGATGATTACTCAAGGTATGGCTACCTGTATTTGATTCATGAGAAATCTCAATCTTTGGACATGTTCAAGTCATTCAAAGCTGAAGTCGAACTTCAACTTAGAAAGTAAATAAAAGCTATCAAATCCGACTGTGGTGGTGAATACTATGGTAGGTATGATGGATAAGAGAAACAACGTCTAGGACCCTTTGTGTATTTCCTCGATGAGTGTGGAATTATTCCGCAATACACAATGTCGGGAAAACCCAACATGAACGGAGTTGCAGAACAACGAAACCAGACTCTTAAGGACATGGTAAGAAGTATGATTAGTCATTCTTCTCTTCTAGAATCATTTTGGGGATAAGCATTAAAGCCTGCAATTTATGTTCTTAATAGAGTACCTAGTAGAGTAGTAGCTAAGACCCTTTATGAGCTCTATACTGGGAAAAAAACCCAGCATTAGACACTTGCACATTTGGGGATGTCCAGCTGAAGCGAGGCCTTATAAGCCTCATGAAGGTAAGTTGGATGCAAAGATAGTTAACTGTTATTTTATTGGATACGCTGAACGCACTTACGGGTATAAGTTTTACAATCCTATCACTAGAACTATTTCTGAAACGGGAAATGCAAGATTTCTTGAGGATGTAGAGTTTGGAGGGGAAGGAAGCATAAAGAGTGTTGTCTTTGATGAAGAAACTATTTCTCACAATGATCAAGTCTTTGTACCTATCTTTATTCCAGAAACAGATCCTGAAATAAACAGTGATGTTATTCCTAACATCCCTCAAGAACAAGAAAATACTGAGTTTCTTCCTCAAGCACCACCTATAGTTCAAACTCAACAACCTCAAGAGCCACCATTAAGAAGATCCACTAGAGAGAGGAAGAATGCAATTTCAGATGATTATGTTGTATTTCTTCAGGAATGTGAGGATGACATTGGTTTGACTGAGGAAGATCCTATCAACTTTAGTCAAGCTATGCGAAGTTCAAACTCTCTTAAGTGGGTTGATGCCATGAAGGATGAGATAAAGTCGATGGTTGACAATGATGTTTTGGATCTCATTAAATTACCTGAAGGAATGAAACTCATTAGTTGTAAATGGATATTTAAAACCAAAAGGAATTCAAAGGGTAACATTTAGAGATATAAAGCTCATCTTGTCGCAAAAGGCTTTACTCAAAAGGAAGGAATTGATTATAAAGAGACTTTCTCTCCAGTTTCTTCGAAGGAATCTCTTAGGATCGTGATGGCATTGGTAGCTCATTTTGACTTAGAATTGCATCAGATGGATTAAAGACTGGGTTTTCTAAATGGAAACATTGAAGAGACAATATATATGGTGCAACCAGAAAACTTTGTGTCAGGAGACCCAAAGTCTATGGCTTGCAAACTCAAGAAATCCATCTATGGCCTTAAACAGGATTCCCGTTAATGGTATTAAAAATTTCATCAAGTAATATCCTCATTTGGTTTTAAGGCTAATCCGATTGATAACTATGTATACCAAAAGTTCAGTGGGAGTAAATTTGTTTTCTTGGTACTATATGTAGATGATATCCTTTTGGAAAACAATAATATAGGATTATTACACGAAACCAAAATATTTCTCACAAATAAATTTGAGATGAAATATCTTGGGGACGCCTCCTTTGTCTCAGGAATTCAAATACTTAGAGACCATTCTCGAAATATTTTAGGATTGTCACAAAGGAGCTATATTAATATAGTTCTGGATAGATTCTCTATGAAAGATAGTAAACCAGGAGACAAACCTGTTGCTAAAGGAGGCAAGTTTTGTCTCAAACAGTTCCCCACTACCAATCTTGAAAAGCAAGAGATGCATAAGGTTTCATATGCTTCAGCAGTGGGAAGTCTTAAGTATGCTCAAGTTTGCACCTGTCCCGACTTAGCATTCATTGTAGGAGTTCTTGGTAGATATCTAAGCAACCCTGATATGCATCACTGAATAGTAGTAAAGTGTGTAATGCGCTACCTGAAGAGAACAAGAGACTTCGTGCTCACTTACCGAAAGTCAAATAACTTGGAGATCATTGGGTATTCTGACTCAGATTTTGCTGGATGCCCGGATAGCAGACGTTCCACATCTGGTTACATCTTTCTCTTGGCTGGAGGATTCGTCTCCTGGAAGTCTTCCAAATAGACTTTAATGTCTCCTTCCACCATGGCAGTAGAGTTTGTGGCTTGCTTTGAGGCATCAAATCATGCAATTTAGCTGCGGAACTTTGTCATAAGCCTACACATCGTTGGGAGCATTGAAAGGCTCTTGAAGGTTTATTGTGACAATAGTTCAGTTGTGCTCTACTCCAACAATAATATGAGTTCTACAAAATCAAAATTTATCGATATCAAGTATCTTGTTGTGAAAGAAAGAGTTCAGAAGAAACAAATTTTGATAAAACATATAGAGACAGACTTAATGCTAGCTGATCCACTAGTCAAAGATTTAACACCTAAGACTTTTGATGGGCATGTTACTCATATGGGTCTTGGTTTTGAGATTGCCTTAGATTAGTACGAGTTTTTTTCTTAATTTTTCTATGTTCTATGTTTTGGTTTTATTTTGGTACAAACATTATGTTATGTTTAATTTTCTGCAGAAATAAAAACTTATGAAGTATTATTGTTATAAAAATATCAAGTTTTTTTGTTATGTGCAAATATTATAACTTTGAATTGCACCTAAGGAACTTCAGTTTAATCTCACTAAAGACTCCATAGGACCAGTTGAAAATATGCATGATTTAGATATCACATTGCATGAAATTTCTATGTCACTCATCCATATCGATCTATGTTATCAAGTACGTTGATGTAGTGGTCATCAGAGTTCCGTCACGTTATACGTTAGTGACGACTGTCGCGGTGATCCCATTATTGATGTATGAGGTGGACCAGATTGTATAGATGAGGTGATCCCATTATTGATCCCTAAAGAACTAAGATATAATCATTAAGATATATTGGTCAAGTGGGAGATTGTTGGAATATTTTAATAATATAGTAATATATTAATATTCCAATAATTATGTTGCCAAATATATTTATTTATTATATTAGCTATTTTATCAATTAAGTGCCTTTAAATAATTAAGTGATCAAATAATGTTAAAAAGACTATTTAGATTTTATTTATGAGTTAATTAATTAATTGATTAAATAATTGGGTATGAACTCAAATATAAGTGGATGTCTGGATGACCCATTTGATAACAATGAGAACTATAATTGGTCATCAGTATATAGTCTACGGTCTCCAATATACCGTACAACAAACAAATTATCTCTTCTTCCCTTCGGAAGAGAATTCGAGGCATAATGAGTACAGGTTGAGGAAGAACCACAAAAGAACAACTTCTGGGTTTAGATTACCATCAAAGGCATTTTTTCTGAATGGACCAAGGTATTCCTAAAATCAATCCATCAATCTTTTAATTTTATACATGCTTGATTTCCACGTCTAAATTATATATTATAATTTCTTGAGCATGTATATTTTTATTAATCGTTATTAATCTAATTCTAACATCTTTTTCATTAAATTCTCTTGTATTTCTTAGTCTTAACCTTGACAATCCGCCACTATACGACCCATCTGACCACACAAAGAATTTGTGTGGAAGAAGGGGCGACAACGACAATGGTTGTGGTGACGGCAATATATAAGGTGCAGAAAGTGACGACACCAGATTTAAGGTTTGTGGAAAAAAATAGAAAGAAAGCAGAGAGAGAGAAAATGGGAGAGAGAAATGTGAAAAATGAAAAGTGACCAGAAATAATTTGAAATTAGAATGGAGAGTAATTAAAATAGGACAAGTGTAATATAAAGAGAGATATGTGAGTGTTTTAATTAAAATATTTGTTAATTATTAATTTATTTAAATTGTAATATAAATAAAAATTAGGGAAGGACAAACACGTAACATCATGCATTAAGATTTTGAAGGATTTATAGGAGATAGTAGATAATTTTTAGTTGATTAAAAAGTGTTATACATCTCTATTTAATTTAGTACGGAGTATTTATTTTAACAATAAAGTGAAGTCGATAGATTCAAAATCGTGCCACTGCCGCGCGTTTGCTTCATCACTCACACATACAGACAATACTCATTTTCCAATTCAACTCAATGGGGACTCTCCACCACTCCACCTCCTTCAGAACCGCCGTCGACGATCCCATCTTGCCCTTTCTCCGGTTACACTCTTCTCTATCTCCATTTCACTTCCACTTACACACACGCGCACAAATTTTCACAGTTTTACGAATTTTCTGCATTTTGTGATTTCAGGTCAATCAAAATAGCCCTAGAAGATTCCAAATGTTCAGTTCAGAATCTCAGCAAGTTACTCAAAGATTGCATTGATAAATTCAAGGGCAATCACCGATACCAAAACGATCCCAGATTTCTCAAAATCTGGTTCCTATATGTAACTTCCTCAACCCTAACTATTACTCTTTCTACCTCAATCTTCATTTCACACACTGCAAGCTTAACCTAATTGATATTACAGAGATAGAAGATTTATAAGGAAAATGAAATGATCTTAATATAAATTAATACAAGTATAATGTTTCTTAATTTGTGTATAATTGACAAATATATAGAAGAGTAACAAAGAACTAGCTATTGCATTTACAAAAAAACAGATAACCTTGGATGTGATGATGAGGACATGATGCTTTGAGGCACCTTGAAATTGAAGGCTCTCAACTTGGGTTTATTGGTTTCTTTATGCAGATGGATGCTAGTGCTGATTTTGATAGTGTTTTCAAAGGAATGCTGAACAGTAATATATGTGCCAATGATGCTTCACTTTATGTGTATTCTGCATGTTTTTTTGAAGCCAAGGGTAGATTGTGCGATGCCGACACAATCTACAAGCTCGGGATTTCCAAGTCAGTGTTTTAGATTAGATTTTTTAACCCTCTTTTGAGTTTTTGCAAATTGTAGCATAAAGAATTGTTTCAAAAGTAGTGGTTTTAGTTTTAGAATTCATTCTTGACTCTTGGTACATCTGATTGAGGGTTTGGTATAGTATCTGCAACTTAAACACTTATTTTGAACCAATATTTGGTTAATCAAATTTAATTAGGCCAAGATTAAAAATTTCCCAAATATGTCTACACCATTACAACCTCTGATACAAATGGCTCAATATCCTTTTGCAATTTATGAAGATAGTTGAACTGATCATCCGCAAATCTTAATTCTTTGAAAATTAAAATAGTTCCCCACTTTTAGAAACAAATCTTCATGTCAAGATCGAGTGAACTTGATCCTGCAAATTATAATTTTGATAAATTACAGGATCGGAGAGCAACAAACTTGCAGGGTTCAGCTGTGCTCAAAATAATGCTTCATTTAGGCACCAATCTAAAACTTACAAATATACTTATTTTGAGATGATAAATATATTTGATAGAGGGTTTACGTAAACGTGGCCGGAAGTTGTCGAAACATATTGTGTTCCATTTTTGGATGTTTTGTTTCATGTCTGTTTTTATTTTGGTTTGTTAGTGTGAGATTTTTCCGACTAGGACTGTAATTCTAATTTTATGTTTGGTCAATGTTTGACAGAAATGCAGAGCCACTTAAGTGGTTGGAGAAGGCACATACCTTATTTCTCAGTAGAATTTCTGAAATATGTAATGCTGCTACAAGCCAGAAGGTATGCAATCATATTGGAAAAGTGAACAATCTCGTACAGTTGAAAACTGAATACACAGCTATGATCTCTGCCACTTGTTTCATCAACATTCTCTTGGTTCATTTTGAAAATTTTTAAATATCAATATAAGAATTCTTATGTAACTTCTAATATCAGGTTGATTATATAGAATCTGCTACGTGGGAAAACAATGGCATTAATCCATGGGACACCTCTACTATGGATGACCTCTTGAAGAAGATAAATCCTTTAATGAAGAAATTTGATGTAAGACATTTTGATCCTTTGTCATCTACATGCTTAATTTTAATACTTTTGACAAAAAAATTTGTTCCCTTACACATCTTTAAATACAATTCAGGGGTATCGATCGAGCACTAAATCTTATACAGGAATAGTGGCCTTATCCGCTTTGAAGAATGCATCAAGGAATAAAGTTATAGAGATAGGTAGTTGTCTGAACATAATCTCAAGTATTGATCATATTTATCTTCCAAGTGTAATACTCTGATTGCTTTTCTGTTCTCTGTAAATGTATGATCAACTTTCCAAGAGTTAATTTTACATGAATTTGCTTGTTTATATTTTCTGCATTATAGCATTTAGTTGTAAGATTTGGTGCTTCTTCCTAACAACAAGAAAAAAAATTATGAAGCAGAGCGGTTTGTCACAGTCATTTGTTTTGCATGTCTAGTTCATATCTAGATGCTAAAATGTATGTATTAACTCTTCTCACGGCACTAAAAACTTAAACTTGCAATGGTGACTTTAGATCATCAATTTTGAGCATCACTTCACGAGTATGCAGTTTTACTGATTGCTAATGGAAGAAGGCAATAAGTCTTCCATTTTAAGCCACCATTTTAGCCATTAAATGCCATGGGGTCGCCATTCTTTACAAATATGCCAGAAAATCCGTGAATGCATTTTACCATGGCTGCTATTTGACAACACAGTGTGTTTAATTGAGTTTATACTTTGCAAAATTTTATGGGCAGAAGAATAACTTGTTTTTTAATTAAATACCTTAATGTCTCATAATCCATGTTACAATTCAATAGTTTTCTTATCAGCCCATGTAACTGTAAGCTCTTGTTGTCTTGATTGTGAAATGCTTAAAAAATTAACCTACTATGAAATCGGCAATCCTTGTTGAATTTGAATTAATTACATATCCCAAGGGTTTTTTAGTCCGTCTAATGTTAATCATGTTTCAGTTTATTTTACAAACAACTGTTCATGTTTGTCCATGTCATTATATCCAAAGGTGGAATGAAGTACCACATCAAGGGCTGTGCTGGACGGGGTGGTTTTGCTCAAGTATACAAGGCAAATGTCAACAACGATTCTGATGATGTTGTGGCACTAAAGGTGATGATGGTCTTGCAAATCATTTACCCCCTATAACATATTCTCTCATCAGATTGTATTTTAAAACTTGACAGATACAAAAGCCAGCTTTCGCTTGGGAATTTTACATGTATCGTCAGCTTGATGAGCGCATCTCTGGCAGAGAAGTATGCCAATATCGATTTTACCATCAACCTGCTTTTTCTATGAACATCTACTTATTCTGAGTTCTCTGACATCTTACTATATCAGAGGTCAAGCTATGGTTTTGCTCATAGAATTCATCTCTTCTCTGACTGTAGCATAATCGTCTGTAATTATTTAGCTCACGGGACACTACAGGTCAATAATTTCCTTTGATTTGCCTCATTATCTTATTCAACATCCCGTGTTGCTGAAATTCAACTGAAAATTCAATGCAGGACGTGATCAACTCATATGTGGTCATAGGAAAATCCATGGAAGAAGTATTGTGCATTTATTACACAATAGAAATGTTGCACATGATTGAAACTTTGCATGATGTTGGCTTGATTCATGGTGATTTCAAGCCTGATAATCTGCTCGTTCGCTATGCTAGGTACATTTCAGCTTCTGTTATAGTTCATGCTTGTGACTCTTACTTTTACAAAACTCATTTTCACACTTTCACAATTCTACCAGCACTTAACTCTCCCTTAAATTTTACATCTATAATTTGTCCTTCACATTGTTTGTATCTTGTAAGACTGCATTTATTGAAATTTTTCGCATCTTAATTTATGAGGTATGACCATTGACTTCTATATTAAAAAGTAATAATGTCTTCAACCCATTATTTTATTACTGTTATTATTACATCTTTTGTATTTAAGGATGCGGGGTTTATAAAGCTCCTTTATATCTAGTAAAGTTATTAGAAAATAGGGAATACTGTTTTATTTTATTCTTTAGCAATAGCGGATATAAATAGGGAAATTGCAATATATATAGAAAATAAATTTTCTAGGAAAATATTATTATAATAAAAAAAGACTAAATATAAAAACTCGTACAGTAGTTTATCGTTTTGATTAAAGACTTTAAATAAATTAAACTATGATGAGAGTTTGTCAATAGTTACTTTCAAATCAAAATTGTTGATCTTTTACTCTAATAAAATTTAAAGTATCGTAGATATAGGCATACAAACATGGTTTTCTACTTTTACTGGCAGAAGGATTTACTCATGGTCATGGTGCTTAAGACCTTTTATTGAGATAAAACCTTCTTGCAAATGCTTTGTAGATTTTTCGTTTTGACGAGCATTTGAATGGTATAGTTGATACTTGATATCCAATGCATGTTCTAATAATGAAGCACTGTGCCAAGAAGCTTAGATGATTGCAATCTGTGGATGATACTCATTATTTCATATTGTTTTGCAGTAACCTCACAGAAGATGGGTTCTTAGACCGAAGCGGTTCTTGGCATGATCAGGTCAGTTTTTCTCCTGAAGATACAATCAAATATTTTTGTTTTTTTTAATTACTATGATGTATAAACTGTTTCATATCTTGCAGGGTCTTTGCCTTGTTGACTGGGGAAGAGGAATTGATCTTCGTCTCTTTCCAGATCACACAGTATTTAAGGCAGATTGTAGAACTTCTGGTTTTCGATGCACTGAGATGCAGGAGGGTAAGCCATGGAAATTTCAGGTGAGTCACTACTTAAATTACACTTCAAATGCAATGTCGTGATTGACTGTCTTTAAAATCGCTCGCCTGTATCACTTGCCAACAGGTAGATGCCTATGGTCTTTGCGGTGTTGTCTATGTGATGCTGCATAATTCCTATATGCAAATTGTTAAAAAAGAATCATCTGATGGGGGCTACGTGTATCATCCCAGACTACCCTTTAAACGGTAAATTTTTCATTTTATAGTTACATATAGATTTGTTGTGGAGTGATCGCTTGGTAAAAATTCGGTTCTGATATTTTGGTTGTTGAATCGAACAGTTACTGGAAAGTCGAGCTCTGGAAGAATTTCTTCTCTAAGATGCTAAATAACTACCCCTGCCATGATGATAAGAGGTTGCTGCAAGATTTGAAGAAGTCCTTCGAGGACTATATGAACTCTGATCCTCAACGCATAAGGAAACTGAAGGAGTTACTAGTGAAGCAAAGGATTTCTCTATGTTCTGCTTAGTGTTTTAAGATCATTATTCATCCACTTCTGCTTTAACTCTCTTTGCGGCTGCTGAGTGCATAACATAATTCTTTTCCATTTAATTGTCCTGCAGATGCTAATTTTGAGTCTCTTGTATTCTGTAGTATGTGTAATGGTTTCGATTGGAACTTTTTTAATGATGTAAATTTGTAAATGCACTGAGTTGTAATTTGTAAGCAAGTAGTATGACTGTAAATGCCATTATTTATGTAGTGAAAAATTATCTTTAGTTCTGAATTCTTCTATGTTGTGAAAATAATTTATATATAGTTCTGAATTCTCTGTCTAAATATTTTTATTGAGTTTTATGATACTTGAGTTATTCAATAATTATTTATTCTGTGTTTTTTTTATCATTTAATTGAGTAAAAAAATGTTTGTGCACTGCATAAATGACCGCAGAACGCTAGGGATTTATGTATAAGTTTGTTGTATCGTGTACCTACGATGCCAATTAAATACTGACATACATAATTATATAAATAATAACAAATTGCTGATATGCCAATAATTTGTCAACATAAAGCCTTTCTTTATAATACAAATATATAAAAGGCTGATATGCCAATAATTTGTCAACATAAAGCCTTTCTATATAATACAAATAATTAAGTATTTTCGAACCCATTCAAAATACTCTACATTCCTTCTTAAATGAGTTACTCACTCTATTTTATCCAAAATTAATTTGAAAGTGTATGTCTAATGGAAAGGTGAGTACATATATAGATATATTTTGCACTCATAATAATATGTTTATTTCATAAGAATAATTTTAAAGTATATTTTCGGACTAACTTTCAAAATATTTAATTTCTATCTTGGACAGTAACTTTGTTATAAATTTGACATCTATAATATAATATAAGAAAAGAAAATGTTGGAAAAAACTCTCTTTTGCCCCTTTCTCTTTTTTGCCACATCTTTAATTTGGCAGCAATTTTGGTTCAAAATTTATTTTTTACAATTAATGATATCATATTATTGTAATCCAACTACATAGTTATTGTATTATATCTTAAGTTGTTAGGATTGAATCATTTGATAATGTCACTTGGTTCACGTGTGAACAAAATTTGGCTCTATTTAATTATAAACCAATCTATCAAATATAATTTTTTCTACTTTTCTACACTTTAGCCAATGTATAATCAACATCACTTTTATATAGTTTATAGCTAATTTACTATTATAAAAAAATCAATTCTCATTTCTGTTTCTATTCCATACACAATTTCTACTTTTCAATCTTTTTCTTCCGTCTTCACTATTCTCTCCCGACTCTTCATCTATCTATCTCTTCCTCCTCTTCTTCTTCTTTCTCACACATATTCATTCTTTTCTATAACATTTGACACAAATCTTAAAAAACAACAACTAAAAACTACAACCACCTTTTTCACATGCTTATCTTCTTCACTCATGGCTAATTTCTATGTATGCCATCTTTTGAAAAATAATTTTAAATTTTAAATTCAATTAATGTCAACCACATCTATTTCCATCTCATTAACCTATTTCTTAAAATTAATGTCAATTTAACTCCATTAATATGTGTTGATAGACTAACTTATTTTTTTATAAATTAATTCCTACTCCTTCTAATCACTATTATAAATAAATATTTTCTTTTTAAATTTATTAAATAACAAATGTATCTTATCTCTATATAAATCAAATATATCGGTTATTAAATGTACCTTAAAAGAAAATCTTTATTTATAATAGCGATTAGAGGAAGTACTTATTAAGTTATTTTTCAAAACTTAAATTGAATTTAAAATTTAAAATTACTATCTTCCAAACTACTTTACTCAAATTAGTAAGTTTTTTATACAACTTTAAACTACATTCATTGACGTTTTATATATGTAAAAAGTATATTGTTCATTCAAATAGTTTTATAAGCCGTGTTATTTTTATAAACGTGAAATATTTACTATTGAGCCATTTTTTTAATAAATGATGTAAAAAACAAAAATAATATTTGTTTATGGAAAAAATATAATAATTTATTTTTAAATTCTATTTTTATTTCAATACTTTACATTTATTACAATTAGTTAGATTTAAATAAGAATATATATATATATATATATATATATATATATATATATATATATATATATATATATATATATATATATATATATATATATATATATATATATATATATATATATATATATATATATATATATATATATATATATATATATATATATATATATATATATATATATATATATATATGTGTGTGTGTATATATATATATATATATATATATATATATATATATATATATATATGTATATATATATATATGTGTATATATATATATATATATATATATATATATATATATATATATATATATATATATATATATATATATATATATATGTGTATATATATATATATGTATATATATATATATATATATATATATATATATATATATATATATATATATATATATATATATATATATATACGAGAATAACTTATTGATTCAAATATTTTTATAAATATTATCAAAACAAAATAATATTTATATACGGAAAAAAAATACAATGTTGATTCAAATATTATTATATAAAAGAACAATTTTACTATTGATTTAAATATTTTTATAAATATTGTTAAAACAAAAATAATATCTATACATAAATACATTATTGATTTAAATGATTTTATATACGGGAATAACTTTATTATTGATTTAATTTTTTTAAAGATAATATCAAAACAAAAATAATATTTATATATGAGAACAACTTTACTATTGATAAGTGCATTTTTAGTTTCTATATAAAAGAATCAAAAGAAATTTTAAATGTGTATAATTGATTTAATGTGTTTGTTTTTTTTTAATTGATTAGATCTCCAAAAGAAATAGAATTTTAAATTAAATGTTTATTATTTATATCAATATGACGTACACTTACAAATATGGTAACAAATGTATTGTTAATCTAAATGTTTTTATATAGGTAAAAATATTTATTGTTGATCTAAATATTTTTATAAACAATGTTATTATTATAAATGGGAACAACTTTACTATTGATTCAAATGTTTTTATAAATACTGTCAAAACAAAAATAATATTTATATACGAAAAAAATATATTGTTGATTCAAATATTTTTATATACGGGAATAACTTTACTATTTTTTCAAATATTTTTATAAATAATGTCAAAATAAAAATAATATTTATATATGAGAGAAAATATACATTGTTGATTAAAATATTTTTATATACGAAAAAAATACTATTGTCATAAACAAGTACAACTTTACTATTAATCAAAATATTGAATAGTATAAATTTATCGACCATTTTTTTTCAAAAATGTGAAAAAGATTAAGAGAGCTTATTAAATAAGATTGAGTAGATATTTTAAAATTGTATTTTTTTTTCTTATAAAATCATTGACTTATTTGTACATAAGTAAAACGATTGATTTTTCTAATACAATTTCAATAGTTTTTATGTTTAATCATATTACTCATAATATTGTTGTTTACATTTCATCTTCTATATGTATCATTATTTCAACTTAAATTTACTATTATTTTTAAGTTTTTTTCTTTTTTCAACTTCATATTTTTATGACAGTTTGCAAATAAATGTGCATCCAAAATCATATCCCACCAAAAAACATACCACATGCATAGACACGAGTTTGCTACTAGTTTTTTTTAAGAAACATTATGTTTTAGGCCATTTATACTAAGCATACATAATTGTTATTCAATTAAACCACACTGATGTAATTCAATTAAAACGTCATATATTAATTTAATTAACATCTATAATCAAACATAATTGTCGACAAATTAGAAACCATAATACCAATATTATCAAAATACAAGTAAAAGTGAACTACAAGGTATATCTGACCCCCAGGTTCCTTCTTTGCCTCATGTATCGCATGACATTTTATGCCTCGACTATCATGGCATGTACGATGCTCATCCAAGGATTTCCTTCCTCAAACTCTCCTTTCTCTATGCCTTCTCTCCCATTGACCACAATATGCTGGCAAATGGCCAATATATCAGCGACATGGTCCGCCCTAGCTTACTCCTCTTTTAATATCCCTTGATGAGCTGACTTAGGTGGATCTTCCTCAGCATCTGGTGTCATGTATGGATGTAACACTCTGAAAACTCATTGCATGTAACCGAATGTTGAGCTCCATGGTTGATGAGTTAACATACTACATGAATCCTCTTATACCAAATGGCTATATAAATCATCAAACATTGCATCAACATCTCTACATACGAAAGTGGAAGGAGAAGACACGATGACAGGGTCTGTTAGAATATCTTGTAGAAACTCGAATTGGCGCATGACTCACTTAGACAGATATGGATAAATCAAATGTGACCCGCAAGTCAACCATCAGGAGTAAGGTAATGTCATCCAAAGGACGCGTATGTTGGTGATCATCATAAGGTATATACAGTATATCATCTACTTCAATATGGTCAAGAAACACTTAGAACAATGCAATCGCTTAATTCTCTATGACTTGGACAAAAGAGAAAGCATGTGGTCAAGCCTCAATATATTCATCCTTATATGACCAGCTGGAGATGCGTGAAAAGTGAAAGAGGATCCATGCCTAAAAATGGTTCAAATAAAATATTAGTATAAATGTAACACAAGAAATACTAGTAAGAATAAAAGTGCAAATATATTACTGTAAATAGTGTGATGCATGTTGTCATCAGTCTAGCCTTCGAAAGACAAGCTTTAGTGAACTTCGAGTACTGGTAAACTAAGCAAGCATCCCCATGTTGTACTTATGAATCCGCTCGAAGTCAATGAAGTATTTAAGGTAAATGACATCGACATGATAAGCAATTTTATCCACAAATATGGATGTGTCAATCAAATACATGAGGTATGACCTTAATGCACATGCTCTATAATGCAAAACATGTGTATCATCACCATCAACC